CTTTGGCTCAGGTAATGATCTCACAGTTTGTGGGTTCGAGCCCTGCATTGTGCTCACTGCTGTCAGTTCAGAGCTTGCTTTGGATCCTCTGTTCCCCCCTCTCTCTGCATACCCCCACTCTCACATGCTCTATCTCTCTCTCTCAAAAATAAACATTTAAGAAAATTAAAAATAAAAATCTCACAGAACATTTACAAAAAAGGACCATATACTGAGCCATAAAGCAAGTCTTAACAACTTTTTAAAGGACTGGAAGATATAGATCATTTTCTCTAATCACAATGAAATTTAAGTTCCATATTAAAAAAAAGATTAGACAAGACTGAAATGTTTAGAAATAAAAATTCCTTGAAATAACTTGGGTCACAGAAGAAATGATCACAAAAATTATAAAACATCTAGAACTTACCAATAACAAAACCGCATATATCAAAATTTGTAGGCTATACCTAAAACAGTACTTATAAGTGTGTAAACTTTCTATGGCTGGCTCTGTATCATTTGGATTATGCTGTTCCATAGGACATATCCTGTAACTGTAATTAATTTGTCTGAACATGGTAAATAAAACAGGAGATCAAAGTCGTGGTTTCTACTGTGGCCTTCAGATAAAATTTAATTATCCCGTCTTTATACACCAGAAATTTCTAGGGGCAAGATCTAAGGGCTAGTAATAATATCCTCAGATAATCCCTGTTAAAAACAAGACAATAGGCCCCAAGTGGAGTCCTTATGCTAAGTCCCACATCAGTAAAATGAGATATACTTACAGTTTCAGCATTCCCAGAAATGGAATCATATCAAACAGGTCATTCAGAAATTGCCAGATCAGCAATTTAGCCAATCAGTTAGCTGATCTGATCAGTTAGATCAGATCAGTTAGCCAATATGCCTAATAGAACCCCGCCATCCCCCAAAGAAAAGTAACCTTGTAATAACCTATTTTGTCTCATATAACTTCCTTGTTCCTGCTCCCTTCTACCTATAAAAGTCTCTCATCTTATACAGCTCCTTGGAGCTCCTTTCTATCTGCTAGGCTCCATGCTGTAGGATTCAAATCAATTTTTGCTCAAATAAATTCTTAAAAAAATTAATAGGCCTCAGTTTATCTTTACACACCCTTGATGGATGTTTCAGACAAAAAGCAGGGGTTGGGGAAGATCTCTCCTGAGGGGACCACAGCACTCAAGATGACCTTGATATTGGTTATTATGCACACCGAGTTAACTGAAGGCAGGAGAAAATATGAGGGAATGTGGGTCTGTAGAGAGAGCATAAGGGTCCTCTTCACTGGCAGCCCTGTGCATCATCCGCCCCCACCATACCACATACAAAAAAATCGACGGTTCCTTTCTAGGAGAGTCAAAAGCTAGGGTATTTTTTTAGCCAGAGTGCTGGTAGAGAGCTTTTGAGGGAATGGGAGAGTAAAGCCGAGCCTCTTGTCTCTTCTGTCCATGAGGCTGGAGAACAAGGACAGCCTGTGAGTCTCCTCACCCTGAGAAAGGCCAAGGTGGGGGCCTGGACCGCTCTGATCTGCTATCTAGGCAGTGTGGCAAATGCTGGCTTTTCCCCTTCCATTCCCTTGTGGGTGGCAGCAAAGCATCCTGCTTA